CATTGTATACTTTATATTCTCGTGTTATCAACATTACACCTAGTAATACGTACATGTACTTACATTGTATACCTTATATTCTCATGCTATCAAGATTACACCTAGTAATACGTACATGTATATTCGTTATTTATATTATAACAGCTTTAATCTTCTTTTAGTGTCATGGCCGTGCAGTTCATGCCGAAAACTCATTATTTCTTCAGTGCAAGTAAAGATAAAACGATAAAATATTGGGACGCTGACAGATTTCTTCATGTTACGACCTTAGAAGGTCATCATTCAGAAATATGAAGTCTTGCAATAAGCCATGACGGCGAGTTTGTTGTAAGTGTCAAGTATGGAAGGTTTTACATAATGTTAAACATAAGTTTGCTTGATATGAATGAAAGAAAAACGTTATTATCAATAAGACTACAATTTACTCAAGAACAACCCTTATTCTTAATACTCCAGTTACACATGCATTGTATTTTATCTTATAGAGCAGTGGGTCACATGATAAATCGTTAAGACTCTCGGAACGAACGGACGAACCGTTGTTTGTCGAGGAGGAGAGAGAAATGGTACTATACATAGATCTGTTGCTGGAGCTACAAAAATATGCATATAGTACCTGTACTTTCAATGTTTATTTTAATTTTTCTATTTAGGAGAGGGAAGCAGCTTACGAAGAAAGCGCCGTAACAGGAGTAGAAACAATTGTAAGATTCTTTTTACTATGTAACATGAGATATGCATGTCCCATCTTGAGCCCAACTACTCTGTATTTGTTATATACTTTCACTATGGAAAATATCTTGTGGAAGTTGCATTTATTGCACTAAATAAATTCATTTATTTAAACCATGATGTTGTTTAGATTCCAGGTGAACAAGACACAGAAGCTGTTAAAGCTGGCAAGAAAACTATCGAGACGATCAAAGGAGTTAGTTTTGTTTTTGTATTAGCATTGCAAGTTAATTTTATTGGTTTTGTGCCCAGTCCTCCCTGTAGTACCTGAAAGATACCTCAAAATTATACAGATATATCGAAAACTGTAGTACACCAAAGACATGTGAAGACTGTGCATATCTGAGGCCAAGTGTTTAAACTTACATTGAGACGGAGTACTTGGAGGATATCATAGTAGAATATAGATATTTGGAAGATTATACAGTATGATTGGGATACTTGGAGGATATTACAGTATAATATACAATATACGCCTGGAGATTACTATGTTGATGTTTGTTCTCTTATCTTTTCATTAGGCTGAAAGAATCATGGGGGCCATTGAATTGTATAAGGAAGAAAGACAGAAAGAACTTGAACATAAAGCGAGTCATGTGACAAAAGACAAAACGGTAGGTTTTTTATTTCTTGCTCTGCACATCTACGAAATGTTTATGTTATACGTATAGACAATCTTAAATCTTAAATGAAAGGTTTGTTATTTCTTGCTCTGCACATCAACAAAATGTTTATGTTGTACGTATAGACAATCTTAAATCTTAAATGAAAGGTTTGTTATTTCTTGCTCTGCAAATCAACAAAATGTTTATGTTATACGTATGGACAATCTTAAATCTTAAATGAAAGGTTTGTTATTTCTTGCTCTGCACATCTACAAAATGTTTATGTTATACGTATAGACAATCTTAAATCTTAAATGAAAGGTAGGTTATTTCTTGCTCTGCACATCAACAAAATCTTTATGTTATACGTATGGACAATCTTAAATCTTAAATGAAAGGTTTGTTATTTCTTGCTCTGCACATCAACAAAATGTTTATGTTATACGTATGGACAATCTTAAATCTTAAATGAACAATGTTAAATAACCATAACCGGCAACATCACAAAACTTTCCACTGTTATTAAAGCCTACCTGTGAAACTACCACCAATATTTTCTTACTCTTTGATTTGGACCACGCCCTGCATCGTTATTTAACCCTACCCATGAAACCAACAATAATATTTTCCTGCTCTCTAATTGGGACAACGCCCTACACTGTTATTAAACTCTACCAATGAAACCACCATTATTTTCATACTGTCTAATTGGGACCACGCTCTGCACTGACCTACCCATGAAACTACCACCAATATTTCCACACTCTCTAATTGGAACCACGCCCTTCACCCTTCACTATTGTCTGATTTATACAGAAAATCCCAGTTTCGTTTTTTACACAAGTTCTTTTTGTTCTCACATACATTTTCTTTCATTTGAACAGCTTCCAAAGCGCGCCATTCATCCGATTCTTGCTGCCTTTGGTAATGTCAGTGTAAGTTTACTATATCTTCAATGTTTCCATTTAAGAACAACATGAAGGCCACGTGATACAAGATGAAAGTCACGTGCATGTTGAACATGATTAATGTAGATATTAATGTAATGTTAAGATTGCAAGATTTACATACGTACGTACGTAGATAAGGAAAAAATGGATGAGATGGCTTTACATTTATAATGACTATATGTTTGTAAATGTAGATCATCCAGGTTGGTATAGTCCTGAGAAGGACTGTTTTTGTTGTTGTTGACTGACGTTTCGACAACCCTAGCGGTAGTCATCTTCAGAGTCGAATGTGGAGTAAACGTCAGGTTAACCGTATTTGTTATCTGGTTCTTACGTAACAATCTGAATAGCCTGTTGTGTGTTTACTTTATTACGATCATTTGGACGATAGAGCGAACAACTTGCTAACGACTACATACGTTTTGCAAGCAACGTCAGACGCATACGGCAACAACTCTGGTTCAACCACCGCTGTAAGTACCCGTTGAACAAACAAGAGGCTATTCAGATTGTTACGTAAGAACCAGATAACAAATGTGGCTAACCTGACGTTTACTCCTCATTTGACTCTGAAGATGACTACCGCTAAGGTTGTCGAAACGTCAGACAGCAACAACAAAAACAGTCCTTTTCAAGACTATACCAACCTGGACGATCTACATTTACAAACATGTAACGATACTCCCGGGTTCAAACCATTTACTTTATTTATAATAACTCTAGAAAAAATGAGAGTTAAATGTAAAATACACAGGATTTGTAATAATGAAATAAAATATCTTGACCACGAAGATGGAGGCCATAAATATTGTTGTTCTACGATTGAATGCCTGTCTATGTCAACCTCCTTTTCCCGGACCATAAACTTACGATGTTTGTAAAATATTTTTTTCTTCTCACAGCCTGTACATTATGTACTTCTAGTGGTGAAAAAAGTAAAGTCAAGGTAAGGTTGAAGTATTGTAAAGAGCAGCAAATTATCCCGCGAAGAATTGTTGTTTTGTACTAAAAGTTAATTTAGAGCATTTTAAAGGTAAAGTATGGCAAAGTGTCTCGTTTGAGTTACTAAAAGAATGAAATATTAAGTGTTATTAGAATACAATAGAGAGGTATCTTATGAAGCAAGTGTTTCTACAAAACATTTAAATTATTTAATTTCAGTGAACTTGAAGAATCATTGCTTGTGTTACCGTTTGACTATGTTATTGATGTACTGAAACTTCTTCTTGAGTGGATTAAGGTAAAGTGAAATATATTTTGACTCCTGTGTCATTAGTTCACATGGTACAGGTTTCGTTTTCAAATTTTGCTCATCCCAGATGTACGTGATTGTTTAGAAAGGTTGGGAAACAGAGTTAAGTTGTCGATGTCTGTTCTTTCTGCTGCGGTAAGATTAAGACGTAATTTTGTTAATGGTTTCGATCGATATTTTTCTCAATACGTCTGTCTTTAAATCATTTTCTAAGAATTTCATCATATTCCTTCAGTATTGCTGAATATGTGATACAATTGGTGAATTACCTATGTACAGTGCTGGATATTTTTCATTTTTTTCATATTTTGTTACAATAGAATACATCACAACAAGATCATATCCACTCCTAAACTACTGCCAGTAATAGACTCTATCAGATCACATTGTCGTAGCCGAGTTCGCGAAATGAAGGTAGGAAGTTGTACGTTTAATAAACCGCAAATATCGCCAAATTTCTCCCGTAATTTTACCATGCGCTATACGACCGTTAATTTATTCGTGGTAAATTTTGTCGACACTTTAATGACTGTAAACTAAACATGTAAAAGTTGTCAATTCTGATTGGTTAAGAGCAATTAAGGCTTTCTTTCACAACACAGTGCCAACCTTAATACCGAGTTTGGCTTTGTATTAAAAAGGTTCATAGAATATTCTTTAATGTATTAACAACAGAAAAAAGTATGTATTTAGAAACAAAAATATTCAATAGTAAGAACATTTCATTTTTCTCTAGTTCTTTAAAGTTTGCTAAATTAATCGTCTTGAGTTTTTGAATTTTGTACTTCAAACTTCCACAGATGACTTTTTAAATTATATTAACTGAACAAAAACGACTTTTCAAATCAACTGAACTGGACAAATGACTTTTCAAATTATATGAACTGAACAAATTTTCTTGAATTTTTACATCGACTTCGATAAAATTATGGCACACTTGTAATGATTGCTTTATCTTTAGGATACTGTTGGATTCAATTTGGCGGGACTACAGTTTATTCAAAGACAGCTTGAGAGTCGTGACGTCACATTCTTTGGCGAAACACGCGAAAGACTGGGACAAATAGGAAAAAAGAAGAAGACGATTGTGAGGAAATTTCGATGAAGGTTATTTTGTTTTTGATACTTTGACAACTAAAACGATTGTCTTCTAAAATACACAATGGCTGCGGTTGATTTCTGTCTATAGCCATCCTCGAAGATCTCCAACTCAAACTGTACCCCTTGAGGGACACGTAAAATCCCCGTGTGCCCTTTAAATTACAATTTTCGTGATCAGCAGACGTTTTAGTTTTGCTTGATTCAGCAGTTATTGATATTGGATCAGCCTTAAAAGCTATAGAAAGGAATTTCGTTCTTGGTTTTTTTTTGACTAAATATTGGGCTAGCCAGACATAGATAATCAAATGAGTCTTTTACTTCTATGACATTAAAATACATTTTTCGCGCCTCTAATTCTAGCTCCCAGCTACATAAATAATCTTACAGCAAACTGATTTCAGAAAAGTTAAATATAAATGAAAGTGAGATCATCAAATTCAACATCACAACTATCGGTGAATACCTCCATCGAATGAAAATATAGAATTAATATAAGTTATTACATTACGTAAATTGCATATTTCCCAGTTATAAAAAAGTAGAGTGTCACAAAAATTAAGGGAGTAATTCCAACTATAAACAGGAAGAAATAATGAATCGATTAACAATTATCAAGCAATTCACCATCTACAATATTTATAAACAAAAAATGTATTTTATGAGTTACCAAAATGAATACAGAAAAAACTGCATCCTCATAAGGCAAAGCAGTCTTCTGGTTATTTCAGCATTCAACAAAAGGGATGTAAAATTGTTATGGTTCTTCTAAGATATGGATTTACTCTCATGAAAATGACCCAACAAACACTTCACTCATTTTAAGGAGATTTACAACTTCAGACTATATAGATTGCAAACGTACTAATCTCATATACAATGTAAAAGTTCCATACAAGTTTCTTATAGTTAACAGAGAAATTGTTCCAGTAAATAAATGACTATTGAAAACTTGAAAATAGAAATGTTTGTATTGAATATTATCAAGAATATATTTAAACCTTATTTATATACAACTGTTGTTGTTTGGACTTTTGTGTAAATTTTTTCCTTAATTCACGTAGCCACAAATCCATTTCATCTTTCTTCTATCTCGTTGTAAATTTTCTCAAACACGGAAGCTTTTTTAGCAACTAGCAATATAAAGCTTCAATGTTAATTTCTATAGTATTGCTCGTTCATAACAATCTTTTGTTTTTTCGTACTCTCCCATATCACTGTAAACCAAACCCAGATTGTTGTACGTTGTCGCGATATTAACATTGTCAGGTCCAAATGCTTTCGTTTGAATTTCTATTGCTCGTATGCAAAAATGTTTTGCTTTTTCGTACTCTCCTATATTACTGTAAACAAAATTCAAATTGTTGTACCTTATCGCAATTTTAACATGGTCAGGTACAAATGCTTTCGTTTCAATTTCCATCGTTCATTCATAAAAATCTTTGGCTTTTTTGTACTCTCCCATATCCCTGTAAACAGAACCTAGATTGTAGTAGGTTAGCGCAATATTAACATAGTCAGGTCCAAATGCTTTTGTTTCAATTTCTATTGCTCTTTCGTAAAAATCTTTTGCTTTTTCGTACTCTCCCATTTGTTTGTAAACCAAACCCAGATTGTTGTACGTTGTCGCGATATTAACATGGTCAGGTCCAAATGCTCTCGTTTGAATTTCTATCGCTCGTATGCAAAAATGTTTGGCTTTTTCGTGCTCTCCTATCTTACTGTAAACAAAACCCAGATTGTTGTAAGTTGTCGCAATATTAACATGGTCAGGTCCAAATGCACTCGTTTGAATTTCCATCGCTCGTTCATAAAAATCTTTTGCTTTTTTGTACTCTCCCATATCTCTGTAAACCGAACCCAGACTTTTGTATATTGTCGCGATATTAACATGGTCAGGTCCAAATGCTTTTGTTTCAATTTCTATCGTTCGTTCATAAAAATCTTTTGCTTTTTTGTACTCTCCCATATTACTGTAAACAAACCCAGATTGTTGTACGTTGTCGCAATATTAACATGGTCAGGTCCAAATGCTTTCGTTTGAATTTCCATCGCTCGTTCATAAAATCTTTTGCTTTTTGTACTCTCCCATATCTCTGTAAACAGAACCTAGATTGTTGTATGTTGTCGCAATATTAACATGGTCAGGTCCAAATGCTTTCGTTTCAATTTCCATCGTTCGTTCATAAAAATCTTTTGCTTTTTTGTACTCTCCCATATTACTGTAAACAGACCCTAGATAGTAGTAGGTTGTTGCAATATTAACATGGTCAGGTCCAAATGCTCTCGTTTTAATTTCCATCGCTCGTTCATAAAAATCTTTTGCTTTTTTGTACTCTCCCATATCCCTGTAAACAGAACCTAGATTGTTGTATGTTGTCGCAATATTAACGTGGTCAGGTCCAAATGCTTTCGTTTGAATTTCCATCGCTCGTTATAAAATCTTTTGCTTTTCGTACTCTCCCATATTGTAAACAAACCCAGATTGTTGTATGTTGTCGCAATATTAACGTGGTCAGGTCCAAATGCTTTCGTTTCAATTTCCATCGCTCGTTCATAAAAATCTTTTGCTTTTTCGTACTCTCCCATATCCCTGTAAACAGAACCTAGATTGTTGTATGTTGTCGCAATATTAACGTGGTCAGGTCCAAATGCTTTCGTTTGAATTTCCATCGCTCGTTCATAAAAATCTTTTGCTTTTCGTACTCTCCCATATTTTGTAAACAAACCCAGATTGTTGTACGTTGTTACAATCTTTACATGGTCAGGTCCAAATGCTTATGCTTCAATTTCCATCGCTCGTTAATGAGAATCTTTTGTTTTTTGTACTCTCCAATTTCCCTGTAAACAGAACCTAGATTGTTGTATGTTGCCGCAATATTAACGTGGTCAGGTCCAAATGCTCTCGTTTGAATTTCCATTGCTCGTTGAAGAAAATCGTTTGCTTTTTCGTACTCTCCTATATCCTTGTAAACAGAACCTAGATTGTTGTATGTTGTCGCAATATCAGCGTGGTCAGGTCCTAATGCTTTCGTTTCAATTTCCATCCCTCGTTCAAAACAATCTTTAGCTTTTTTGTACTTTCCCATATGACTGTAAACAGAACCTAGATTGTTGTATGTTGTCGCAATATGGGCGTGGTCAGGTCCTAATGCTTTTGTTTCAATTTCCATCGCTCGTTCATACAAATTTTTTGCTTTTTCGTACTCTCCCATATATTTGTAAGACAAACCAAGATTGTTGTATATTGTCGCAACATTAACATGGTCAGGTCCAAATGCTTTAGTTTGAATTTCTATCGCTTGTTTGTAATAATCTTTTGCATTTTTGTACTCTCCCATATTCAGGTAAACCATACCCAGATTATTGTACGTTGATGCAACATTAACATGGTCAGGTCCAATTGCTTTTGTTTGAATTTTCATCGCTCGCTCAAGAAAATCTTTTGCTTTTTTGTAATCTCCAATCTCCCGAAGCAAACCACCCAGCTTGTTGTACGAATATGAAACGTCCACATGATTGACGCCTAACGCTCTAGTTTGAATTAATATTATTTCCTTAAGTACATTGATGGCCTGTTTATATTTGTAAAATTTTTTTAATACATTTACAAAGTAATTGGCAATTTTCAAATTTGTTTCAATTTGTTTTGATGATTTTACATCGATCAACTTATTTAGGAAATGTTGAAATGATGAATTTGTTAGGAATTTAATTAGATGTGGAATTATTTTGATTTCATCTTTTCTGCCTTCAAAATGATTTAGTGCCCAAGCGACTTGACAGCAAGTAGAGACATCTTAGTCAATTATTTTCTTTTGTTTACTGCAAAGTCTGCGATTGATAATTTATGATGGCTTCATGTACAACGCAGTGCAGGCGGATGTCGTTGTTTTCCGTTTGAAGAAATAAAGAACAATGCTTTAATTGAAGGCATATATCTTCTGCAGACTTATGTGGATCAATGCTTTTAATAAATTGTATGATAATATCTTGTGGTAACGGATCGAAAGATATTATCGAGAAAAGACCAAAAATTTTTTCCAATAATATCGATTCTTCAGTACTTTTTTGTACTGCCAACTCAACAGTTTTCAATAAAGTTGATTTACCTCCAGAATATGCTGTATTGACCTTTTGAAATGTGGCATCCATGCTCTGTCGCTCTCCTTCATTCAACTTATCGAAATATTGCTCCCACGTGAATTCAAGATTTGCACTTTTTACACTACCTACGTAGTAAGCAGCAATTGCCAGGACCAATGGTTGACGATCTAATTTTTCTGACAAATTCTTTAAAAACTCTTCATCATGATTATGAATATCGGTATAGACAGATAGAAGTTGACGACATTCTTTATCATTCATACCATGACTAATTGAAATGTGTTTGTTTAGATTCCCATCTGGTGGTATAGCGTCTGTATTTTGAACAGTTACTACAATTTGTCCATTTTTCCAATTATGATCACCAACTTGAGGTAATAATGGATAAATTTTATCAAGTTTAACCACGTTATCTACAACAATCCACCATATTTTCCAAGATTTCAGTTTTTGTGTCAGCAGGAAATGAAATTGTTTGATTCTGTCTTCGCTGCTTTCTATCTTTTTTAAAATATTTTCAATAAAATGTTCATTGATGTTCAAACGTTGACAAAGTTCATTATAAGTTTTTAAGAGAGAGTCAGCGTCTTTTCCTTCGAGTGTCATAACAAATGTAGTTTTATTTTCCCAGTCAACAGAGTTAAACATTTCGTCGCAAATTTGTCTAGCTAATTGAGATTTACCACTGCCAGGATTTCCAGAAATATAGTAATATGTTAGTTCATTATTGTTAGTACTTCGCAAGTTATTCAGATCTGCTGTGATTTTTTTAAGTAATTTTGTACGTCTAACAACATCGTGATTTGGTTTGCAAGGAAGTACTTGAAAAGAATCAAATCTGTTTCGTTGACATTTAATTTCATTAATTTCATTGAATGAAAATCCTAGATCATGAAACGAATTTTCAATATCACAAACCATTTTGTTAAATTTGGTATCAGATACTCTTCCAAAATTATTATGAATAAACTTGTTTCTAACAATACGAAGTGCATCAACTGCAGAACTAACTTTTGTGTTAACTTTTGTTCCTATTGAGTTGGAAAACAATATTGCTGCAAATAGTGTTGTGCAATCCCACTTACTGGTGTCACCATCTTGAAAAGTTTGAAGAATATGTTTATCATGAGGTTTCTTTTTTGTTTTTTCAATATTGAACAACTTTTGACCACTAACGTTTGTATTTTCCCATTGTCCAAGAGATTTTTTGTAATGTTTGTCCCATTCTTGGATAAATAAATCAGCAAGTTTCTTTTCAACGACATTTGTAAGTATTTCTTGTATAAAGTAGTTATTCCTTTTTTCTCTTGACTCCATCTATGGATCATAAAATGATCATAAGATGAGCACTAATTATTTGTAAATACAATTTATGGACAACTGAAATAGTTGAAGATTGAGTTGGTAAATTTCCATTTGTACATGAAATTGGTTAACCAAGTTGGCAGAGGAAACACAGAAAAGTATTTCTGTGGCAGTTGAGCAAGTTGTTGAAAACCTTTATAAAACATAATCTTAAGTTTAGCCAAAAGCAATGCAAGCAGTTGGTCTATAAGTTTGTTTGCAAACCAATCTGAGCTCTACCAATTAAATCAATCAATCAATTTAAGGGAATTTGCCTATCAATCAAATTCATGTTAGAGGAAAAGTTAAAACGTTTTTTCTAATTTATCTATTTCGCATCATTGCATGTATTACGCTTTTATAAAAAAAAACAAAAGTGCTTGTGCTTTGTTTAGAGAAGTTGTGAGTTCTCCCAAAGGTCTCCATAGTGCAAACAGTAAATTTGTAAAAATCTTTTATAAAGCAACTATCTACATGCGGTATAGGTTATTTTATTACTCCACAGGTGTTGTCATTAATAAATGTAGTTTGTGGAATTCAACATAATAAGACACACGACCAGTTTTATTACTATGAAATATGTGTAAAATAAGAATAATGTAATATTAAAGAAAACATGACCAGTTTATCCACAACAGTATCAACAGACGCACATTAACTGTGTTGCATCATCCTAACCATTCTGAATGCGTTTGAACAAAGATTTTTTATATAAAGTTGACACAGACTGCGTACAATCGGTATAAAATAATTACGAATATTTGTTGCAATTAATCATTCCATATAGTTATCTAAAGCAAAACTTTATCGATAATGCAGTTGCACTATACACTATATGAGTGTAAAAGTTTTGGTTATATTAAAAAAAAATCAATATAATAATAGTATTTACATTGATTTATATTTAGCTGTACTAAAGGTCTTTAAAATCTGGTTTGTTTTCTGTTGGCGATGCAGAATATGCATCTTCAACATGAGATTTGAATGAGACGTGACAAATGAATAAAAAATGAAACATATTTCAGGTTCCATACAGAAAAACATTAGGAATCAGCACATTTAAAACTGTGTGATGAGTGACGTGTCACTATTTGACTAAATCTGTTATTAATCTTATAGCTTTGCTATGTGAATATAATTTGAGACAAACTATTGAAATAAATCGGAAAAGATTAAAAGTTTACATTACTAAATCGTTACAAATGCAAATTTATTGAAAAATCCCATTAGAATCAACAAATGTTATCCATATAAAACTTATACGTAACGCGGAAGTGACTTTATTACAAATTTTCCTTGACATAAAGAAATAATTGATAAATGGACATAAAATATTAAATCCCAAAATTAAAATACATTATAACAATGACAGGTAAACTTTAAAATCAACATACCTTCACAAATTGAGAAAGATTAAAAAGATGCAACCAACTATATGATGTCTTTGCTTTTGCTTGATAATACAGAAATTGGAATGTTCACGAAATGTTCAATTTTAATCACCTGCTGTTTTTATTGTAAAATATTGAATTCTTTTCATAGCAGCGAAACGATAAAATTGGCAATGCAAATTTTGTAGCTAGATAGCTGACTTTGCGACACTATGTGCATTTTGAAAAAATTTGGTATCAAGCCATTTTGCTTAGTGGCTATAAAATGATAAAAAAAATTAGCTAGCTTATAGACAATGACCATTAAGATGAAGATAACTGGAACACTACCTTCTGATTGTTTTGATGCCAAAAATTGCGACTCTGGACACGTGTGTAATGTTAGGGTAAATAAGATAACGTTCCAGTGAGAGATTTTGAGCTTATTTGTCATGCCTTTAAAAAGAAATTTTGTGATTTCACTGTGATAAAATCCTAATCAATCAAGTGCAAAAAAAATGCTTAAAGACAGAGCTCAAAACAAGATTTAATATTAACGTTAAGTGAAAATTATTGGATTTAGGAATTTGGGATTGTTGAATTAGTTTGTGGTTAGAAGCAGAGTTTATGGAGGTTATAGGAATTTGGTTATGCGTGAGAACAATTAAGTTTTTATGATCAAGAATAAATTTGTAGGAATTTAAAATCAAGTTGTGAAGCATGAATTACAGTTATGACTTTGTATTGTAAAGATATCTGATATAAGGAATAGAATAGTGAGGCTTAATTAGCAGTTAAGAGAAGTTATTCATGGTGATGGTCATGGTGATCATTTGGTGGTGTTGGTCTAAGTTGTGGTGTTAGTCTTAGTCTTTTATCTGTCTTAATACAAGTTTTTGTTTTAAGGTTTAAGTGGTAGTGCTGCTGTTATTAAAGTTACTCTTGGTGTAGTGTTACTTTTAGTGATAGTGTAGTGTTGGTATGATGATAGTTTTGGTCTTTGTGTTAGAGTAAGTGATGGTCTTTGTTTTAGACTTAGTGCATCTGTTCTAGTTTATTTTATGTTTGTTTTGATAAAAATGAAGGGAGGGAAGGGGGGAGAGAATAGTGGCGGATTCAGACAACATCAAAATAAATTACTGCAGCCCATTTTGCGTAAATTTACATTCCTAAACACGTTAGAGGCTAATCCATTAGTAAAATTATATTCCTCAGAAATTAAAAACCAATAGTGTTTTTCTAACTGAAATTTGAATGTATAATTGAGGAACTATAATTTATATTGATCTACACTGTATCCACCAGTCGGGGGGGGGTAGTACATTGATGATTGTACTGTATTTTTAACAACAATGATTCATGGGAGTGGAGAGAAGCATATCGTCTTTGGCTGTCTTCTTCTTTCCTTTTTTCCATTTTCCTTGTCTCTTCTCTACTTTCCTTGACTTTCCTTTCCGCTTTTCTGTAGGTTTTCTTGTACGAACAGATCATTATTAAATTGGTAGAAACACCAATGTAGCACTGTTGCGTTTATCAAGTATAAAACTATAAATACTGTATTTGAAGTTAGTCTTGAATATAGTTTGATAATGTGCAAGTATCGTCGTTTGTTGTAGATAAAAACTATTTTATTCATTTGTTTTAGACATTTGGAATACTAATTCAAAACAGATGAACTTGGTTTGGCAGAAATGAAATGGACGTCAAAATCAAATAATTTACAAAGAAGATATAGAAATCAAGCTATTAAAATGGATGAAAGATAAAATAATAATTGTTGATTTGAAACTTTATGTAAACAAACAAGCGGGAGATGGGAGGAGACAGAGGAAATTTATATAAAATGTAACTTTTCTGCAAATATTAACATTGCATGAGTATAAAATGATTAAATTAATGTATAAAAAATCTATTAGAATGGTCATTGTTCTTTATTTTTTAATACTACATATAACATTTTAATTCCTTTACATTAAATAGATCTGTGAAAATATTTGAAATTTCAGTTGAACTTTGCTTGCTTTAAGAACTCCGAGTTTTTGTTCCTGACGACGTTTTAGAATTATTAATTGAAAAATGTAAATGATTTTTTCTTTATGCTTATCACGCCCATAAAGAGATGAATATAGAAAATATTGAACTTACCAGGGAAAGTTTGAACGCTTAGTCTTTCTTCGCTTGAGTGGTTTCTACAAGAATGAATTTAATTCAGTAAAAACTTTATAACAGAAAAGTTTCAAAAAAACGCCCAATAATTATTTGGTAGACAAAAATTTCAGGAAATTAATTGGCATATTAGTAACCTGTCCAGATATCTTGCCTCGTATTTTGGTATTTGAGTGTTTAGATTTTCCTGACGACATCAATTTCGAAGATATAGTTAAATTCATTGAAATGATATCTCAAATTTTGCAAGTTTACGATGATTGTTTATCCGTGTATCACAAGTCCCTCAATGATTGATTGAAATCAGATGTCACAGTCTATACTAAACTGACATCAGTTACTTTGGCGTGCTTGTGATAGTAAGTTTCAACACATTAAGTCGATAAATATTTTTAAAGATGAAATGAACTCTGCTATGACTAAATATGCTTTGAACAATGGTATTTATCATATTAATGAATGTGATGAAAACGTCGATTTTAGTTGGGCTGTAGATAATAAAAACGGGCATGCTACGTTAAAAAAGGTACCTGCTTTATCTGCACTCAAGGCTTTGCAAAACCAGTGGCCCAAAATTGTTAAAAAAAGAGACACTTTGTGGTGTAACCATGGATGGTTTGCTCGTGATACGCGAGAAACAGTAAATGAGAGAGTTAAATTAGAAAGATATAAGCCATTAAAAATTGTATAAAACATGTTTAAGGTTGTCTTAAGTTTTAAGTGCAAGAAAAAGGCACAGTGTCAGAAGAAGTTATTGAAACATTGCTTGGTTTATTTTATGAGCAAAAAGATAAAATTTAAAAGCAAGAAACCCCGTTTTCGTTCCATGCTTCCCGATACCCTTGCTTGATGAAATTGAAAGTAGTTCAAGCACCTAGCATACGCTCGAGAGTTTTGAATGAGGACTCAAGGACCAATGAAAACACAAATGGTACCAAACATTTAGACGACGATAAAAGCTTTAACGTGGACGAGGTTCCAATACAAAAACAACCATTAAAATCACCGTGTGTTCTGAAGATAGGTTCAAAAGAAATATCGATGAATCACATATACAGTTTGGAAGCTCGTTGGCTCACGTGGTATATAGGAGTGGGAACTGTTCATCATGTTGCTGAAGATATGTAAAAATAACTAACAGCGTCTTTTCTTTTAGGACGAGGAATCTGATTACGAAAGTGAACAGGAAACAATCACTACAAGAAATTTGCTAGAAGATTCAAAGTTCACTGTAATGTTTTTATATACTTTCACCATTAGTTTATATTTGACTAGAACTAGTTTTTCCATTTGATAAACTGTAAAATTCGTTTTCAAAAAAATTTTTGGGCGTACGCTATGAAACGATGTTTACCTATAATCATTGAAAATTTAGACATATCATGAAACTACAAATTTTTTAGGAGTTTTCTACTAAAATTTTCTTTCTTTTAATATATTTAAACATCTTACAATGTCAAATTGTACGTTTATTGGAAATAATGTCATAAAATAACGATTTTCATGAAAACGAGGCTTAAAGCTTGAAAATGAGGCTGAAATCCTCGGAAATTGCCCGTATAACATCGATTTTTCTAATCAGCGCACCAATATTGACCATTGAGTTCTATAATAACTCAATGATAGGTTCTATAGAGCTCAATGATATTGACCAAAAGAAGCTGGTCGTGATCTGGTCTAGTAAATTCCCCCCCGTGGGACATACCATTGGACGATATCATTGAACGACACCCCCCTTTCTCCTCCAGGTCTATTTTGGAGGAAATCTGACGCCATAAATCCCTACGTGAAATCGGGTGGAAGACAAATAGACAATTCGTAGTAGTTCAAGATGAATTTCCAATATTTAGGACTCTTCTTTTTCCTTTAAAATGGTCTTAACAAAATCTTATCTGCGTTACGTCGAAGCTGGAATCTTTGGCGTAGTGGGAAGTGCTAGAGCTAATGTGTGTCTTGTTCAAAGTGGCGAGAAAAGACGTGAAATTTGCCGCGCGATTGTTCCCGCACTAGAAAATGTATATATTTGGGACGCTAGACTTGGCGAAAAAGTCTTTGAAGAGAATTGTTGAAACCTTTAAACAATGTTAGATTTTCCACTATTTAAAAATTGCTTTTATGATATGCTTATCTAAATGTCTAGGTGAATGTCTTACAAGGTAACAAGAGCGAAGTGACATGTCTCGGCCTCAGTCCTGACTCAGAACATCTTGCTGTTGGGTGAGTAAAACAACTTATCTAATTAAATAATATAGCATTTCATTATGTCTTAAAACTTATGCCGGATATTTACTTCATTGTGGCTAATCAACACTTTCAACAGTAAAAGGTATGGTTGTAAGAAACACAAGGTCAGGCAATGGAAGGGGCTCGACCCCCCTGCTTATAAAAGCCAGATCCTACCCTTCCCCCTTGTATTCTGAAAAATGTCAGTCAACCAGTACAGTATGTAATGTTAACAAAAATGAAAATCATTGGTGTACATTCCCCACGAGTCACAAACTATTTTAATTTCTACATATTTGTTAGACTAGATAAATTATATCCCTTTGACAACAGGTAATAAAATTTGCCAATATAAAATAATTTTCTTTGCTTTTGAAAACTGAACAGCTTTTGATCTTAATGTATGTAATAAATTTGCATCTGCTTACTGGGAGAAGAATGTAAAGCTTAACCTGCATACATGCACCTCCACCTTCATATATGCACCTCCACCTGCATATATGCACCTCCACCTGCATACATGCACCTCCACCTGCATACATGCACCTCCACCTGCAGTTTATTTTTAATTTTAGGTATGGTGATGGTGTCATCAGAATTTGGAATATAAATAATGGTACATCCTCAGTGACATTTAGGTAATTTCTTGTCATGGAAAATATTTTTCAATTTGGTCTATGCTCAAACATTTGTTTACCATCGGTACTTCTGAATTCCAATTACAAAATGATACAGTTAATATAACTCAGTATGCTATTATAATATAT